TCATCCTGGGCCGAAAATTGATAAAATCCGAAATTAAAACTATGTCCGAAAATCCAGGAGTTTCGGTCACATGTATAATCTGGGCCATAATTTCTAGACGACTAAGACTTAATCTAAAAATAATATTTGTAATTAGTTGTTTAAAAGGTGAATAAATTTAGTGTTTGAAACAGTGTTAATGTTTTAATTAAAATTTACTATGCACTATTTAATTTTTTTCTGCGTGACATCTGCACATCTACTCGAAAAAAATATGCACAAAATTTTGTTTGTATGCTACGCACAGTTCGCATAGTGAAAAATAATCACAACTGTGACAGATCACAATGAAATCCAGATCAAAATGAAATTATAATATAAAATCTCGAAAAATAATTTTTTTTGGGATGCATTTTTTAGAGATAGGGTTAGAGTTAGGGGTTAGTTTTAAAGTTATAATAAACAAGTATAGGTGGGTTTTAGAAGGTTAACAGATTGAGTAGAAAATGTGGATTTCATTTTAAATTATAATCCGCGACAATAATTGGCTAATCATGTAATTATATAGTACTTAAAACAAATTGCATATACGTATAGATTAATTTAACTAAGAAATTCTAAATACATATGCTTAAAATAAATCTATCTAGTTTTCCTTTTTCTGAAATACCATCCTAGTATGCTAAAAACACGCTCACAGACAGCATTATGGAGTGAAATAGAATGTAATTTTAAAGCAAGACATTTAATATGATCTTCATATCTTGTCATTTCTATAGACATCCACCAATTAGTAATTGTATTAGCGGATGCAATAAATTTATCCTCAAAGAGAGGCTTGTGATTTTTATACAAATTCATTTGAGTTTTTAGAAGATCTGCACTTGTTCGACCACCACCTAATTTCTTCCATATTTGTAAAGCTTTTTTAAGAATATGATTCTTATATATATTAAACTCAAAAAATTCACCTTTAATAAAAAAAAATAAAAAAAAATTAAAATATGCATTCTAAAGTAGGCTAAATACATAATTTTTTAAGTACCTCAGTAAGCTAAATATAAAAAAAAGGACAAAAGATACAAATTTATATCAAATTCTTTTCATCGCTTATTATAAATAGCGATACAATCTTGTTAAAATTGGCTATTATATAAAACAAAAGTTTCTTTGATAGCGATTGCCAATTTTACTAGTTCAACAAACACATCAGCCAACAAGGTGGTTCAGAACTTCACATTTTTTACAGCCTATTTTACTGGGCAAAGAATATCCTGCAATTGTTCCACATCAATCCAAAATTGCCGATTACTAATTAACTCTTTTACAGTATTCGCCCGATTAAAAACTTGAGGATCTTGTTCTAAAATCTGTTAAAATAGGTTATCTTTAATTAAGATATAATCATGTGTATATATGAGTACTATAAAGAGAAAACCTGCAAATCTTATTATATAAGATTTGCGGGTTTTCCCTTGGCAGCACTAATATATATATTAAAAATCTAATTGCAATAATACCGATTTAATGTTTACTTCATTGCGTATAATTGATTTACAACAATCTCATGCTGTTGACCACCAGGTTTTAGTACTCATTTTTAAATTTCTACCAATAGTGAAAGTAGATATAATTTCTTGATTAAGGGCAGCACCAGAAATATAAGAATTTCTAAAAAACTTTATGACTGTTTGACAGTTGGAAAGAACAGCTCATGCATGAGGTAAACAGCAGATACTGCTAGAGATTAATTGTATATAATACGCAATACATCTAACAGGTAAAATATACAAATATTTTGTTGCAATCAGATGTTTTGCCGCTGTCATTGCCGATTCTGCATCAGACACCACTGCAACAAATTTTTCAGATCCAACATTTTCTATTACTTCTATTATTTTTTCAGCATTAAAATTTGCCGTATGAGAGGACATTGAAAAATCACGTAAAGAATAAATATATTGTTTCTTCTCATCTGTCATTATCATAAAGGCATATATGCTACGTTTTAATGGACTGCACCAACTGTCTATACACAATATCAGATTTTTAGATTTCAATAGTTCTTTTTCTATTTTTAGTATTATGTTTGCTGCTTCTACATCCAAGATTGTTGTTGCTAATGTAGTTCTCTTAGATGAATTTTACCCTGGTTTTAATATTTTTGTAAAATTCTCAAAATAAGGAGAGTCAAAGGCAAAAAATGAGATACCAGAACATACAATCTATTTGATCAACAATTTATTGGCCCTTACTTCTTTAGTTTTATCAATAGCTTCTTTTGTATCATAGTATGCATCTATAGTTAACATAGAATAGCCTGATTTTCTTTTTTTTTTTGAGGTAGATGTTCCAGATTGTATTGACACATCCTCATTTTGAATGTCCTGAAGCACCTTGACTCAAATATCTTTTGGTATTTTTTCTTTATATTTTAATACGATGTGAGTCTTCATTTCATGAGCTCTTCCTTGAGCCCATGATATTTCACAATACCTACATCGTGCTTCTTTATGTTTTCCTCTTCTATAGAAAATAGCATCAAATTCAGTCCAAATATCCTCTTGGGGTCGCCTCTCACTATATGATGATTGCGTTGTCTCTGTTTGTATAGAATCTGCTTCTGAAACAAAAATGGAATCATTTGAAATATCAGCAAGACTAGTAACATTATTGTTCATATCATCATTATTCATATTATCATTGTTTATATCATCCATTGTTATATAAAAAAAAAAAAGGAAATATCTATAAAAATGTTTTTTAAATAAAGAGCAATGTATACCAATAAAATTGTTAAAGAGGGGAAATATTTGCTAATAAAATTCCAAGAAAAAGATGAAACTTCTACGAAAAAACAATGCTATATAGTTCATTTAAATAGAGATGATTAATAGAGTTTTTAAGATATTGAAACAAATCCAAACTATAATAGTTTGGAATTGGACGACAAGTATATCTCACAAGATTGGTATTTTTTAATGTTAATTATTTGACTCAAATAAGAGAGCATCGGTTAAATTTAAATACTGTATTTACTGAATTATCGCCTTTCAAATTAGCAATTTTGTGAAGCCCATGAATGCATATTACTATTGTTTAAACAATAGTAACATGCGATTTACAAAGTTTAATTGTCTTACTAATTTGAAAAATACAATTCTCAGGCTCTATTCAACGGTACTAGGCCCCTCAATAGTTCACGTATATATGCATAATTTTTGGAGCATGTATTTTTTGGCTAGATAATACAAAAATCACCAAACTAAATAAAGGCTTTTTGTTCTTAAATTTATATACTATATATGAACCAATAAAAAGGTCTACAAAACCTGATTGTCTTATTAATTTGAAAATCGCAAAATTCATCTAATTTAAAAAAAGCAATTCACAAAATCTGCCTCACTAGTTTGTAAAGAGGTTCATAAAATCTGCATTACTAATTTGAAAAAAGTGATTTACAAAATCTGCCTCACTAATTTGAAAAAAGCGACAAAGAATAATGATAATTCATAAATATTTTACTTATCAATTTAATCAAGAATGAATTATGCATTATTGTCAATAAAGTATTTGCATATTTATTACAAATTTACTGATAGCTTTATAGTTATTCACCTATTGAATTGTAAACCATAGTTATTTCTTGCGTTGTATTATCATAATTAGTGATGTAACCCAAACCCAAATCTGAAAGTCTTGTTATATACAGAATCTCCAAACTGCTAAAACTATATTAATATAGTTTGAAATTTTGGCATAATCAAGTCCCAAATACAATGCAGGGCCACTGGACATTAATAGTACAATTAGTTAGCAAAAATAGCTAGTAAAAGTAACAAATTTAGCAAAATAGCTTATTCTAAATTTATATTTATTAAGCATAAATTTTAATGTAATTATATTTCCCTTCTGCAAGTTCTTCATCTATAATATAGGTCAGTACACAGCAAAACGAGGTTTAGAGACACTTTGATCAAGGTTGAGATTTTTACTGGATCATATTTCTAATTATGTGATTTATTCACAGTAAATTTTTTAGCTCGCATTATCATAATAAAATTTTGTACAATTTTTTTTTTATCTCTATATTATATTTAAAACTTTAATTGATTAAATATTGATATCTACAAATAAAAAATTCATCCTAAAGCCTCTTTTTGCTATGTACTGACCCATATACGTACGTATTTTGCTAAAAAAATAGTGCTATTTTAAGTGTTATAAAAATTCAAAGGCTCTGATACAATGATATCATAAAACATCATTTGACTTATAAAATTACCGTAGTTGTCAAATTATGCTAAAAAGGTTTAGATCATATTGCCAATTATAATATAGCATATGAACAATTGCTAGAATAACAATTTGGGATTTGAGACATGGAATGGGATTTGGGATTTGAGATTTGGGATGGGATTTGGGATTTGGGATAAGGTTTGGGATTTGGTCACAGTTTGGGATTTGATTACAGTTTGGGATTTGGGATTTGGGATTGGGATTTGTTTAGTTTTTCCATATAGGATTTTAAACATAACTGAATAATCCTATTTGTTCAGATTTGTCCATAGAAAAATCCCAAATCCCAAGAGTTTGTCCGGCAAGTATAGTACTAAGCTAGCCAATAAAACCAAAATAAGATGATTTCAAAACGAAAGAATTTTTAACTACATCTAGTTAACAATTTTCCCTTACTAAACTATTCTTCTTTTTATAGCAATAATCTAAATCTAATTTTTTTCTAACAAGAAATTCTATTTTATCTTTTAACAAAAGGAAATTGCCAGAATTCTTTTGTTTATATTTATATTTTTTCCTCCTCTTCTTCTAGTTAAATTTATCTTTTTTAATAATTGAACTGGCTCTCAAGAGTTTTCTTATATTCTTTTTAATGATCTTTTCTTCTTGCTCATAATGCCATAGTATTCTTCTACTTCTTGAGAGCTCCTTCTACTGTGCTTTTCTTGATATATTCTTTTGTAAACTTTTTTTTCTTCAAAGTGTCTTTGGCCTTCCTTTGGTCTTTTCACTTCTGAGTTTTAGATGGTCTGCTCAGATTCTATTTTTTTCATGAACTGAGTTTGTAGGTCTTCTTTTTTCCTCTTTTTTATCTTTTCTTTTTCTTTTTTCTCCTAGACTTTGGTTTTCTTCCTAGTAATTCTTTTTGTATTTCGTTCCACATATTTCAGTTTTCAAAGATTTCTACAAAAATCTTCTCTAATATCTTTATTAACATATTCTTTTTCTTCTTTTTCTAGTTCTTGGTTCCTTTTTGTCTATATATTAATATATCTTGAATCCAATTCACATCAGTGGTTCTTTGGGTCTTCAAAAACTAAATCTATTTTATAAGCAGATCTTTTTCTTTTAACTTTCACGCTCTACTATTATTTTATATATCTATAATGCTTAATTAGTATATTACTTCGATTAACCACTCTGTTAGATTTGTTAATTTGGCCTTTGGTCTTGGATCTTCTTGAAGTATGTCTAGGGTTTCTACTTTGATAAAGCCTTTGGTCTTTTGTCCTTTAGCTTTCTTTTCTTTTCTTTCTTTGACCTTTTTTTTTTCTCTCTTGTTTTACTAACTCTAGCTCGGCCAATATCTTGAAGTTTACAACCAGAGTTCTTAATTCTATTTTGTTGTTTTGCCTTTGTCGAATTTTTCTTTGTTTCTGAAGTCTCTTGCTTCAGCCTACTTCTAATTTCGACTTTATTTTAGCTACTTATTTTTTCTTTTGTATACTTTGTATCTTCTTTTCTTTTGCTTCTTTGATTTTTTTTTGGTCTCGTGATGTGTTGCTGTAGAAGACTTGACAGATTCTTTGAATTGTTGTACTATAGATTTCAAAGCTGTTTTGTTATGCTGTTTTTGTCAGCTACTTCTTTGTTCTTGGAGTCTCTTGCTCTAATCTAATTCTATTTTCACTTTTACTTTAGCAACTTGTTTTTTTCTATCTATTAGTCTTTTTCTTATTTAATTATCTAGTCTTACTTCTACCACGATACCATATATTTCTTCTTTTATAATATGGTTAACAAGGTCTTCACTATCTTGCAATACTTCGTAAAAGTCTTTTGATCTCTTTCTATAAATATAGATGTTGTATATTTTAATTTTTTTCTGTTATACTGCCATAGCTCTTCATAAAGCTCTTTTATTTGTTTATTAGCTAATTCTTTTGGAATGGGCTTCTGTCCAGTATATTCTGCTATTATTTCTTCTACAGTTTTATTTATATCTTCTTCAAGTGTTTTTGCTATTAGGCCTAGATTTCTTTTAATACCACTTCCATCTTTTTAGGTATTTCGATTTTTTTTTCTAGGCGCTCTGTTAATATTTGCTTCACGTGACTTGTTGTTTTTCTATTGTTATCGAAAGATATTGTTTGCTGCATGTGTTTAATGGCTTTGTTTACTTTCATCACTGGTTTTTGTTGTGTTTTCTTTGTTTACTTTCTATTATGTATTGTGATTTTTGTATCATCAAAACAGATCTACGATTCAGGGTTAAAACCGATTTCCCAAAAAAGACCTAACTGTAGGAATCAAGAGCAGATTACAACCCTTACAAACCATTTGTATTGATAGTTTAAGATAGTTAAGGATACTGTTGATAGTCTGTAAAGTATGGTTTAGATAAACTTTACAAGAATAGGAATAGGTAATGGTAGTAACTTCAGCTCGCAAATACTTGTTCTCAGACTTGGTATAAGTTATCAAAAA